TTTTTAAAAATGTAAAACCTTCTCGGGGACGCCACCTGGTTTTTTTATAATGTAAAACCTTCTCGGGGGTCCCAATCGTGTTTTTTAAAAATATAAAACCTTCTCGGGGGCGCCACCTGGTTTTTTAAGAATGTGAAACCTTCTCGGGGGTCCTAATCGTGTTTTTTTAAAAATGTAAAACCTTCTCGGGGGTCCCAAGTGCCATTTTTTAAGAGGGTAAAACCTTCTCGGGGGTACCAACTGTTCTTTTTTGAAAATGTAAAACCTTCTCGGGGGCGTCAAATGGTTTTTTTTATATATAATGTGAAACCTTCTCAGGGGCCCCAATTGTGTTTTTTAGAAATGTAAAACCTTCTCGGGGGTGCCAACTGTCACGTTTTAAAAATGTAAAACCTTCTCGAGGGTCCCAACTGTTCTTTTTTAAAAATGTAAAACTTTCTCGTGGACGCCATCTGGTTTTTTTATAATGTAAAACCTTCTCGGGGGTTCCAATCGTGTTTTTAAAAATGTAAAACCTTCTCGGGGGCGCCACCTGGTTTTTTAAGAATGTAAAACCTTCTCGGGGGTCCCAATCGTGTTTTTAAAAATGTAAAACCTTCTCGGGGCGCCACCTGGTTTTTTAAGAATGTGAAACCTTCTCGGGGGTCCGAATCGTGTTTTTTAAAAATGTAAAACCTTCTCGGAGGCGCCACCTGGTTTTTTAAGAAGGTGAAACCTTCTCGGGGGTCCCAATCGTGTTTTTTAAAAATGTAAAACCTTCTCGGGGGTCCCAATTGCCATTTTTTAAGAGGGTAAAACCTTCTCGGGGGTACCAACTGTTCTTTTCTGAAAATGTAGAAGCTTCTCGGGGGCGCCACCTGTTTTTTTTTTAAATGTAAAACCTTCTCAGGGGTCCCAATTGTGTTTTTTAAAAATGTAAAACCTTCTCGGGGGTCCCAACTCTCACGTTTTAAAAATGTAAAACCTTCTCGAGGGTCCCAACTGTCTTTTTTAAAAATGCAAAACATTGTCAGGGACCAAATGTTTTCTTTTAGAAAGTGAAACCTTCTCGAAGGTCCCAACTGTTCTTTTTTAAAAATGAAAAACCTTCTCGGGGACGCCACCTGGTTTTTTTATAATGTAAAACCTGCTCGTGGGTTCCAATCGTGTTTTTAAAAATGTAAAACCTTCTCGGGGGTGCCACCTGGTTTTTTAAGAATGTGAAACCTTCTCGTGGGTACCAATTGTCCTTTTTTAAAAATGTAAAACCTTCTCGGGGACGCCACCTGGTTTTTTATAATGTAAAACCTTCTCCGGGGTCCCAATCGTGTTTTCTAAAAATGTAAAACCTTCTCGGGGACGCCACCTGTTTTTTAAGAATGTGAAACCTTCTCGGGGGTCCCAATCGTGTTTTTTAAAAATGTAAAACCTTCTCGGGGGTCCCAAGTGCTATTTTTTAAGAGGGTAAAACCTTCTCGGAGGTACCAACTGTTCTTTTTTGAAAATGTAAAACCTTCTCGGGGGCGCCACCTGGTTTTTTTTAAAATGTGAAACCTTCTCAGGGGTCCCAATTGTGTTTTTTAAAAATGTAAAACCTTCTCGGGGGTGCCAACAGTCACGTTTTAAAAATGTAAAACCTTCTCGAGGGTCCCAACTGTTCTTTTTTAAAAATGTAAAACCTTCTCGGGGGCGCCACCTGGTTTTTTTAGAATGTGAAACCTTCTCGGGGGTCCCAATCGTGTTTTTTAAAAATGTGAAACCTTCTCGGGGGTTCCAATCGTGTTTTTTAAAAATGTAAAACCTTCTCAGGGGTCCCAACTGCCATTTTTTAAGAGGCTAAAACCTTCTCGGGGGCGCCATCTGGTTTTTTTAGAATGTGAAACCTTCTCAAGGGTCCCAATCGTGTTTTTTAAAAATGTAAAACCTTCTCGGGGGTCCCAACTGCCATTTTTTAAGAGGGTAAAACCTTCTAGGGGGTACCAACTGTTCTTTTTTAAAAATGTAAAACCTTCTCGGGGGTGCCACCTGTTTTTTTTAAATGTAAAACCTTCTCAGGGGTCCCAATTGTGTTTTTTAAAAATGTAAAATCTTCTCGAGGATGCCAACTGTCACATTTTAAAAATGTAAAACCTTCTCGAGGGTCCCAACTGTTCTTTTTTAAAAATGTAAAACCTTCTCGGGGGTCCCAATCGTGTTTTTTTAAAAATGTAAAACCTTCTCTTGGGTCCCAACTGTCATTTTTTAAGAGGATAAAACCTTGTCGGGGGTAGCAACTGTCCTTTTTTAAAGAAGGTAAAGCTTCTCGGGGGCCCCAAGTGTATTTTTCTAAGAAGATGAAACCTTCGTTTTTTCTATTACATCTTCTATACTGTTTTTACTCTATAAAAAGTAAAATTGCGCAAAATTAAATTTTATAATTTTTCAGAAAAACAGTATTTGTTGGACTGTACTCCAGAAGAGAGGGAAGTTCTGTCGAAATTATTTTCGACCAATTTTTTTTTATTCGTCAGCTTTTACATACAACATCCAGGCCAATGACGCGATTTATTAAGGTGGAGCTTGTGCGAATGGGAGGAGCCTGAGTAATAGAGTAATATTGCTATTTAAATATAGTTCTGTGGAATGCTTATTTAACACCAACCTAATACTTTCTAGGTACTTTGTTTACAGTTTACCTATGTTCTAATGGTATTATTTCTTTGAAATTTTAATAAGAATTTAATAACAATATTAAGAGAAGCCACTACAATCAAGAGGCGGGTGGGTGGGCGGGGCAATTGCTTCTTACGGGACTGTGTCGAAAAAAGGGAAACTTAACTCCACCCACTTCCTTTCTCCATTTCACTGACTTATTTAATTCACTGGAAAATAGAAGTTGATTTCTGATTGGACAAGCGATAGAATCTAGCGTTTAAGACAAAGTCAAAAGTGGCCCCCACCCACCCACCCCTACTCCACTTTGGTGACCCATTTTATTGGCTCTGAGACGTAAGTTGAATCTTATATAGACAAATAACAGAATCTAATACATATTTTTAAATAAAATTTTCATTTTTATTCGAAAAACGACGAGTACACATTGAGCTACAATTACAAACACCGCCCCTTTTTAGGGAGCCAATGAAATGATTTATTAAGATGGAGCTTGTGCGAGTGGGAGGAGCATGGTGTATTGTTTTTTAAATATAATTCTCACGTTAGATAATTTATTTACAATTTATCTATTTTTTCACCAACGATTTAACAGATTTGGGTGAGTTTCTAATAAGACAATAATTATGTTATTAATTAAAAATATTAGGCGTGGTCACCTGAACCGAGAGAGGGGTGGGTGGGCGGGGCTATTGCTTGCTTATAACTATAAGATTCTATAAAAAGAAGCTAAACTTAGCTCCACCCGCCTCCTTTCTCCATTTTGCTAACCGATTTTATTTCTACAAAATAGGAAATGAATTTTGATTTGACAAGCGGCAAAATGTACGATTTAAATCAAAGTTAAAACTAGCCCCACCCACCCACCCCTACTCCGTTTTGGTGACCCTTTTTATCGGCTCTCAGACGAAAGTTGAATTTTATTTGACAAAAAATAGAATCTAGGACTAAATATTTTTTAATAAGATTTTTTATTTTATTCGAAAAACGACTTTGTCGTCAGCATTTACACAGAAATCTTTCAAAGTCACACAATTGTAAACGCCGCTCCTCTCACGAACCAATGAAATGGTTTATTAAGGTGGAGCTTGTGCGAATGGGAGGAGCATCAGCAACATTGTTTACAATTTATCTACTTCCTCACCAATGTTTTAATAGATTTGTCTAAAATTCTAATAGGGTAATAATGCTGAAATTAATTAACAATATTAAGAGTAGTCGCTAGAATCAAGAGACGGGTGGGTGGGCGGGCTATTGCTTGCTTATACGAGTTATAAAACTCTGTAGAAAAAGCGTATTCAATACCAACTTAACATTTTCTGGATACTTCGTTTACAATTAATTTATTTTCTCACCATGGTTTCTCAGATTTGCCTAAGATTCTAAGATAATAAAATTGTCATTATTTAACAATATTAAGAGCAGTCCCTAGAATGAAAAGGGGTGGGTGGGCGGGGCTATTTCTTGCTTACAAGACTGTGGAGAAAAAAGGTAAACTTAGTTCCGCCCACCTCTTTTTATTCTTACAATAGAACTCAAATACTTGCTGACACTCTTTCCTACACACTTCTATGAGAATACAACAGAAAAAAGAAGCTTAAAATGCGAGCGCAGCGAGCACGTTCAGGCGTTATTTAAAAATTTGATCCAAAGTTGTGAATTTTGCAGGAAAATAAGGTGAGGACTTTGACATCACAAAAGTAATAATAATAATCACTGTCTACTGTTCCAATTTAGTAAACTTATATGTACTTGTTTGTGGACCAAATATAGGAAGAAACAATTTTAACTAGATCCATATTAGTGTAAGCACGTCCTGTCACCACTACTTTAGGTAACTTAAGAGTGTATTGTATTGTAATAGTGTTATTCTGACATGTAATTTCATATTTCGTCGGTGTGTCACAGTTGAGAATTTACGAAAACACACATTTTCGTTTGCCGCCGCTCTATAATGATAATGAACTAATCAAATAATTATGTATTGCAAAATATCGTGAATTAATTAATATTAAGTATTAGTACTTTTATTTTTAACAAGTTCGGAACACAAAAATAAGAAAATGATGTTTTATTTACAACCACATTTTACTCAATCTGTCCTGTATTGACACAAACGGTGGTCGGAACTAAATGATCCAGTTGTCAATTTTGACAGTTATAAAAACAGTGTCGCCAATACAAAAATAATCACACCCACTATTCCAATTTAGCAGAATTTAAAGTGCAATTTTCAAAAAATAAATAAACTCAACACCCACAAGACTGGTCAAATCCGGTCCAGAACTGACAACTACGTCAAGTTGACAGTTCGCGCCGCGACGGTCCTAACTCTATGTAACCTCATTTGAAAAAAGCGCTCAACCAACCTTCCTTTGAACATGTCGTCCACCCTAAAAATCCGGCTGAACATGTGTTTTCCGGTGATTTTCCCGCTTAGGTAGGCTGCATTTTCACCACAAGCACAGAAAAAGAACTTGTCCGGGTCGAGTGATTTAAACGCACGGCTGTATAATCGGCCGGTTTCGTCCCATCAAGTACCGTTACGTGTTCACCACAACTTCACGATTCACTGTTTTTTTCGATACGCACATTACACACTTTCGGCAACTCTCGAGCACTTCTGTACCTGCCGTTGGTAGTCGCCGGAGTAACTCCGCTGAACTCTACAGGTATCAACAACTCCCACCACCGGAGTTTGCCTCTTCGTCTCGAGCACGGAGAAAGGCGATTCCGTCCTCCTCGCAGCGGCGGTCGCTCTTGCCGCAGACTGTGGTAACGGTACAGGTAATGTTTGTTTATATGCATTGACCAGTTTTTGTAATTAATTGCTGGGCTGGGTGATGGAAATCGGGATGGACGGAGTTTTCGTGGGTCCGGGATGTGGGGTGGAAGTTGCAGGGAGAGTTGGGAGCGGAGTGGTGGGATCTGTGACGTGGTGACGTCATTGGTTGCTATTATATAGTATGTTGGTAACTAATGGCAACGGGTCAGCTACATCCAGCAAGGTTAAATTTTAGTTAAAGATGTATTAGTATAGATTTTCCGGTGGAAACTCGGGCACAACGAGTAAATAGTTGGGGAATCGCGAATACGTGCGCTTGATGATGGACACTACAAAGTGAAGAAACGTCTGTTGCAAATTCATTCCAAGACAAACATTAATTTTCATAAATGTATCTTGCATCAAGTGATCGGTGGAATTTAATACAAGTGTTGCAAATTTGCCACTTCCTACTAATGGGAGACCTTTTGAAAGTTTTAGTTCATGTGGTTAATATGTCAATATCAAAATTCATATTGAAAATCAAGTTGGTTTAAACTTTTTTTTAACACACAATTTCTCAAATGAACTGAACTAGTCCTGAAAAATTTGTTTACGTTAATTGTATAGGAATTTTCTTATTTTAGCATCAATTCAAAAAGTTTTCAGAAGAATTTTCTTTTCAAACAAGAAGAAAAATTTCGTTTGAGGTGTAGAATAGTAGGTAAAGAATGAAAAGAATATTGACAATGTTTTAAAGTTTGCAAAACATTCTAGATCTTATCAAGAAGACTTTTTAAAAAAATTCTAGAAAGGGGTGAACTTGAAATGTCTTGAGAAGATCTAAACATTCGAAACGAAACTGAATACAGGAATTTTCGAATGAATTGTAGAAAATTGGTAGCGATATTCGAAAAAATATATTTTGAAGTTAAGAGAAGTTAGAAAATTTGGGCTGGAAAATTCCACACCAGTTGTCAAGGTCCAGGAAGGTTTCTTGATAGAATTCTACACATTTCGGAGAAAATTAGAAATTTGTCAAAAAACCATTTTATTATTTGAGATAAATTCAAAAAATGTCCAGAAGAATTCTACTTTCAAACTGAAAGACAGAGAATTCTACTTTCAAACTGAAAGACAGAGAAGAATTTCGATTGTACTTAAGAACAAGAGATAAAGACGAAGTTTTAAAAGTTCTAAAATTCTAAAAAAGTTGGTTAGTTGAAATAGACGATATCAAGAAAAAAATTAAAAGTAGAGGTGTTGACGAAATTCCAGAAGATTTAATAATGGAATTCTGATGGAAGATAAAAGGTGTACCAAAATTTGGTCTTCAGAAATAATTAATACTGAAGATAAAAGTAAATTGACGAAGAACAGATAAAGTTCTAGAAAAACCCATTCTAGGAAAACATTACCCTTACAATGTTGAACAGTTTCACCATAGTATCATTTAACAAGATCCAAGAAGATCTCTTGACAAATTTCTCAACGCTTCGAAAAAAACATAGTAGAGGGGAAGATCTGAAATCTTCTAAACAAAAAATACTTAACATGAATTCAAAAGGTTTCTAAAAGAATTCTACTTTCAAACAGAAAGACAGCAAAGAACTTGGATTGCAGTGTAGAAGCGTAGATAAAGATGAAGTTTTAAAAGTTCTAAAATCTTCTATGGTCAAAGAGTATTGTCTTGGTTAGTTCAAATTATAGACGATATGAAGAAAAAATTGAAAACTGGAGATGTTCACGAAATTCTATAAAATTCAGTAATTTATTTAAAAATGTTCTAAGGAAATTCTGGACAAAGATCTTGAGAAAGATCTAAACATTCTCGACGAGGCAGAATACGAGAATTTAGAAGAAAATTCAAAAGATTTGGAGCAATATTTGAAATAATTTTGATTGAAGCCAAAAGGGGTACCAAAATTTGGTCCTCAGAAATAATTAATCCTGAAGATAAAAGTAAATTAACAAAGAACAAACAAAACTTTGGAAAGTTCCATACCCGGAAAGCGTTACCTTGACAGATTTCTAAACATTTCGGAAAATATAGTAAGTATAGGAGAAGACCTGAAACTTCGTCAGAAAAATATTTTTACTTGACGTGCATTCAAAAAGGTTCTAGAAAAATTCTGCTTTGAAATAGAAAGATAGAGAAGAATTTTGTTTGAAATTTAGCAAAAATTATAATAGAAGATAAAGAGAGTATCTTAGCAGTTACTGCCCCGCCCACCCACCCTCTCTTTCTTGGAAGATATGTCATTTGCCAAAATCATTTTTATCTTAACAAATACAAGGCCCACCCACCCGTCCCCTATTTTCTTAGAGGGTATGTCATCAGTACTTGCTCAGATAAACTAATTTTAGCAAAACACATACCCTCTAAGAAAAGAGAGGGGGGTGGGCGGGGCTAGTAATTGCTAAGATAAAAGGGTTTTTGGCCAGTGACATCCCTATAAAAAAAAAGAGGGTGGGTGGGCGGGCTAGTACCTGCTAAGGTAAGACTGATTTTGGCAACTCACATACCTTCTAAAAAACGACAGGGTGGGTGGGTGGGGCTAGTACCTGCTTAGATATCACTGATATTGGCAAATGACATAGCCCCAAAATTCTTTAAAATAATTAACAAAAAAATGAGAAAATCAGTCTAATCTTAGCAGGTAATAGCCCCGCCCACCCACCCTGTGTTTTTTTAGAAGGTATGTGATTTGCCAAAATCACTTTTGTCTTAGCAGGTACTAGCCCCGCCCACCCACCCACTCCTTTTTTTCTTAGAAGGTATGTCATCAGTACTTGCTCAGATAAAACTGATTTTAGCAAATGACATACCATCTAAGAAAAGAGAGGGTGGGTGGGCGGGGCTAGTTCCTGGTAAGATAAGATTAATTTTAGCATATGACGAATCCTCTAAGAAATTTAATTAAATTATTTTAAAAAAAGACACTGGAGGCTCCAAAGCACTTTCAAATTCTTTCCAAACAGGAATAACTAAATTTTTCAAAAAAAAAGACGGGGTACCAAAATTAACTCAAAAACAAGTCAGTCAGAATTTTCCAAAAATAGAACACCAAAGTCCCCCAAAATTACAAAAAATATATCCATGGGCTCCCAAAATAATACACCATGGGTACCCAAGAGTCTCCCGAATTAAAAAAAAAACACTGCAACACTCAAGACTTTTTCAAATTCGTAAAAAATAAAACACTAAAAGCTCATAAGATTTTTTCAAGTTCATCCAGCAACGAAACATCAGATTCCTTTAAAATTATCCGAAAATAAAACACCAGAGGACCTAAAATTAACTGCAATAGCTGCTAGCCCCGCCCACTCACCCTCTCTTTTCTTAGACGGCACGTCATTTGTCAAAATCGATGTTATTTTAACAAATATTAACCCCACCCACCCACCCTGTATTTTCTTAGAAGGTATATCATTAGCCAAAATCAGTCTTATCTTAGAAGCTACTGCCCCGCCCACCCACCCTCTCTTTTCTTAGGGGATATGTCATTTGCCAATATCGATTTTATTTTAACAGTTACTAACCCCGCCCACCTGCCCTCATTTTCTTAAAAGGTATGTCATTTGACAAAATCAGTCTTACCCTACTAGTTAAGATAAAAATGATTTTGGCAGATGACATACTTTCTAAAAAAAGAGAGGGTGGGCGGGCGGGGCTAGTACCTGCTAAGATAAAAGTGATTTTGGCAACTCACATACCTTCCAAAAAACGACAGGGTGGGTGGGTGGGGCTAGTATCTGCTTAGATATCACTGATATTGGCAAATGATATAGCCACAAAATTCTTTTAAATAATTAACAAAAAAAAAAATGACAGAATCAGTCTAACCTTAGCAGGTACTAGCCCCGCCCACCCACCCTGTCTTTTTTTAGAAAGTATGTGATTTGCCAAAATCACTTTTATCTTAGCAGGTACTAGCCCCGCCCGCCCACCGTCTCCTTTTTTTCTTAGAAGGTATGTCATCAGTACTTGCTCAGATAAAACTGATTTTAACAAATGACACACCATCTAAGAAAAGAGAGGGTGGGTGGGCGGGGCTAGTTCCTGGTAAGATAAGACTAATTTTAGCATATGACGAATCCTCTAAGAAATTTAATTTAATTATTATAAAAAAAGACACTGGAGGCTCCAAAGCACTTTCAAATTCTTTCCAAACAGGAATACCTAAATTTTTCAAAAAAAAAAGACGGGGTCCCAAAATTTACTCAAAAACAGGTCAGTCAGAATTTTCCAAAAATAGAACACCAAAGTCCCCCAAAATTGTTTTAAATAATTTATACAAAAAATATATCCATGGGCTCCCAAAATTATACACCATGGGTACCCAAGAGTCTCTCGAATTAAAAAAAAAACACTGCAACACTCAAGACTTTTTCAAATTCGTAAAAAATAAGACACTAAAAGATCAAGATTTTTTCAAGTTCATCCAGTAAAAAAACATCAAATTCCTTTAAATTTATCCGAAAGTAAAACACCACAAGACTTAAAATTAACTGCAGTAGCTACTAGCCCCGCCCACCCACTCTCTCTTCTCTTAGAGGGTATGTCATTTGTCTAAATCGATGTTATTTTAGCAAATACTGACCCCGCCCGCCCGCCCTTTATTTTGTTAGAATGTGTCTCATTGGTCAAAATCAGTTTTATCTTAGCAGTTACTGCCCCACCCACCCACCCGGTCTTTTCTTAGGGGGTATGTCATTTGCCAATATCGATCTTATTTTAACAGGTAGTAACCCCGCCCATCCGCCCTCAGTTTCTTAGAGGGATCTCATTTGCCAAAATCACTCTTATCATAGCAGGTACTAGCCCCGCCCACCCACCCTCTCTTCTATTGGAGGGTATGTCATTTGACAAAATCAGTCTTACCCTAGTAGCTGAAAAATGAGCTAGTACCTGATAGTTGCGAAGATAAAAATGATTTTGGCAGATGACATATCTTCTAAGAAAAGAGAGAGTGGGTGGGCGGGGCTAGTACCTGCTAAGGTAAGACTGATTTTGGCAACTCACATACATTCTAAAAAACGACAGGGTGGGTGGGCGGGGTTAGTTCCTGCTTACATATCACTGATATTGGCAAATGACATAGCCCCAAAATTCTTTAAAATAATTAACAAAAAAAATGAGAAAATCAGTCTAACCTTAGCAGGTATTAGCCCCGCCCACCCACCCTGTCTTTTTTTAGAAGGTATGTGATTTGCCAAAATCACTTTTATCTTAGCAGGTACTAGCCCCGCCCGCCCACCCACTCCTTTTTTTCTTAGAAGATATGTCATCAGTACTACAGTACTCAGTACAGATAAAACTGATTTTAGCAAATGACATACCATCTAAGAAAAGAGAGGGTGGGTGGGCGGGGCTAGTTCCTGGTAAGATAAGACTAATTTTAGCATATGACGAATCCTCTAAGAAATTTAATTTAATTATTATAAAAAAAGACACTGGAGGCTCCAAAGCACTTTCAAATTCTTTCCAAACAGGAATACCTAAATTTTTCAAAAAAAAAAAGACGGGGTCCCAAAATTTACTCAAAAACAGGTCAGTCAGAATTTTCCAAAAATAGAACACCAAAGTCCCCCAAAATTGTTTTAAATAATTTATACAAAAAATATATCCATGGGCTCACAAAATTATACACCATGGGTACCCAAGAGTCTCTCGAATTAAAAAAAAAACACTGCAACACTCAAGACTTTTTCAAATTCGTAAAAAATAAGACACTAGAAGATCAAGATTTTTTCAAGTTCATCCAGTAAAAAAACATCAAATTCCTTTAAATTTATCCGAAAGTAAAACACCACAAGACTTAAAATTAACTGCAGTAGCTACTAGCCCCGCCCACCCACTCTCTCTTCTCTTAGAGGGTATGTCATTTGTCTAAATCGATGTTATTTTAGCAAATACTGACCCCGCCCGCCCGCCCTTTATTTTGTTAGAATGTGTCTCATTGGTCAAAATCAGTTTTATCTTAGCAGTTACTGCCCCACCCACCCACCCGGTCTTTTCTTAGGGGGTATGTCATTTGCCAATATCGATCTTATTTTAACAGGTAGTAACCCCGCCCATCCGCCCTCAGTTTCTTAGAGGGATCTCATTTGCCAAAATCACTCTTATCATAGCAGGTACTAGCCCCGCCCACCCACCCTCTCTTCTATTGGAGGGTATGTCATTCGACAAAATCAGTCTTACCCTAGTAGCTGAAAAATGAGCTAGTACCTGGTAGTTGCGAAGATAAAAATGATTTTGGCAGATGACATATCTTCTAAGAAAAGAGAGGGTGGGTGGGCGGGGCTAGTACCTGCTAAGGTAAGACTGATTTTGGCAACTCACATACATTCTAAAAAACGACAGGGTGGGTGGGCGGGGTTAGTTCCTGCTTACATATCACTGATATTCGCAAATGACATAGCCCCAAAATTCTTTAAAATAATTAACAAAAAAAATGAGAAAATCAGTCTAACCTTAGCAGGTAGTAGCCCCCCCCCACCCACCCTGTCTTTTTTTAGAAGGTATGTGATTTGCCAAAATCACTTTTATCTTAGCAGGTACTAGCCCCGCCCGCCCACCCACTCCTTTTTTTCTTAGAAGGTATGTCATCAGTACTTGCTCAGATAAAACTGATTTTAGCAAATGACATACCATCTAAGAAAGGAGAGGGTGGGTGGGCGGGGCTAGTTCCTGGTAAGATAAGACTAATTTTAGCATATGACGAACCCTCTAAGAAATTTAATTAAATTATTATAAAAAAAGACACTGGAGGCTCCAAAGCACTTTCAAATTCTTTCCAAACAGGAATACCTAAATTTTTCAAAAAAAAAGACGGGGTCCCAAAATTAACTCAAAAACAAGTGAGTCAGAATTTTCCAAAAATAGAACACCCAAAATTGTTTTAAATAATTTACAAAAAATATATCCATGGGCTCCCAAAATAATACACCATGCGTACCCAAGAGTCTCCCGAATTAAGAAAAAAACACTGCAACACTCAAGACTTTTTCAAATTCCTAAAGAATAAAACACTAAAAGCTCAAAAGATTTTTTTCAAGTTCATCCAGCAACGAAAGACCAGATTCCTTTAAAATTATCCAAAAATAAAACACCAGAGGACCTAAAATTAACTGCAATAGCTGCTAGCCCCCCCACTCACCCTCTCTTTTCTTAGGGGATATGTCATTTGCCAATATCGATCTTATTTTAACAGGTACTAACTCCGCCCACCCGCCCTCATTTTCTTAAAGGGTATGTCATTTGACAAAATCAGTCTTACCCTACTAGTTAAGATAAAAATGATTTTGGCAGATGACATATCTTCTAAGAAAAGAGAGGGTGGGTGGGCGGGGCTAGTACCTGCTAGGATAAGACTGACTTTGGCAGATGAGATCCCACTAACAAAATAGAGGGCGGGTGGGCGGGGCTAGTTCCTGGTAAGAAAAGAGTGATTTTGGCAAATGAGAAGAGAGGGCGGGGTAGTACCTATTAAGATAAGACTGATTTTAGCAAATGACGTATCCTCTAAGATATTTAATTAATTTCTCAAGATTGTTTTAAATTTAAAAAAAAATACGAGGTGCCAAAATTGACTCAAAAACGGGTCAGGTCAGAATTGTCCAAAAATAGAACACCAAGGATTTCCAAAACTGTTTTAAATAATTTACCCGGCACTCAAGACTTTTTCAAGTTAATTATATTCGAAGATCTACGGTCATGGCGAACTCGAGACTCGAGACTCCACAGAAAAAGTACTTTCCACGTGACGAAACACTCTTCTATTAGTAACGCAGGACTGACTACCGGAAACCACTTGACTTAAGCTAGTAAAGCGAAGACTCGTTCCTAAATTCGCGGATTTACGCTCACGTGGATGACTGCCAAAGGTAATAACACTAATAACTCCTGTTTTATTGCATTATTAATATTTGAGGTAAGAGATTCATTTTCTTTTCTTTCACCAAAAAGTTGCCACACCTTTGTATACCAATTATGAATGTTTGACTATAACGCTAAAAGTTGCCGCCTGCTTTAAATAGAAGTTCAAGATGAGTACTTGTGTGCCTTTTGACAAATTCTAATTGAGTTCATAATTTCAATAAAGCGTGAACTCACAGCCAACTCGATTGAACGAACATTTACAACCACAATACCGTTATATTTGTTTTTTCAAAAGTTTGCGTACAACATTCCACTTCCGGTGCTGAAACCTGATAATTATTAAATTAAACGCCCGGACAGACAGACGGCTATAAAATGTGCAAGCCATCGGGCTTAATAATCCCATTAAAACATTTTTATTCCAATAATCCGTTACCAGCAGTGAAACAATTTCAAATACTGATATACAGTTGCACCAGAGACAAGGTAACAGATGATATTTAATCACTTGTGAATAACTGTTAGATAAAAAAATTAATCAACAGAGCGGGTGTCCACTTACGGAGTGATATTGCTTTGGGAAAAGGTCAATTTAATTGAATTAAGGGGAATTTTTTGCCGAGAGTTGCGTTTCATTCAGTATATCGATAGTACGATTTCTATTACACATTCACGACTTCGATAATGATTAAATTTGATGTTATATTATATTAGTTTATGTGAAAGTCTCAAATGCAGGAGCAATTTGAGAAATTTCAATACTCGTTTGTATTGTTGGTTGCCTATTTCGAGACAATATTAGTTGTGATCACGATCGTACATTATTTTGTCAGTCTACTTACCACACTTCTTATTATTCAAGGGTCATCAAGGTCTGTTATTAAAAAAAAAAGAAAATGTAGCATTTATATTATAGCTTTATTACAAATATTTTTTCTCCGTGACATAAAATATGATTCTATAACATAAGTAGCACCTTTAATGTTTCAATTTCGTTACACTTTTGCACACAAACATGAACAGTCAAACTGTCTAAAAAAGGAATAAATAATAAAATACTGAATTTCATAAATATTTAACATGCTTGGCAAGAAACCATTTTGCAATACATAATACAAGTCAAACACGTATCTCATACAAATAAATAATTTTAAACACAGAAATATCATTTGAATTAATTTAAATTTTATCAAAATTAAGGAACTACACCATTTTTCCGTAAAACAATATAGTTTGTGCAGTGTTGTGATTAGTTTATTGTCAACTGGATCTTAAAATCTATACACATGTAAAACAATCGTTTACTGCGCTTAACAAAAATTTACATTGTAAAATAGTAGTTTTGTAGTACTGTAGGCAGTGTAAATAAAATATACCTAAATAAACAATATTTCCTGTCACAAAACTGTCTTATTTCTTAAGCATTGACTATAACGATAGTCTACCACCACTGATAAACGCAACTTAACCTTTCAAACTTGTGAAAAAAAAAATCAAAAATAAATAACCAACAATTAGGATATTCTATCCATGGGAATGATAAGATGAACCCAAAAATAACAGTTAAAATAAATTAATTCAAATAGTAAGTTATATACATAGCAATACAACCTAACATATTCACAAAGAGAATTTCGTCAAAAATCAGTCTTCCAAATAATGCATTGAAAAGGCACTGGTGATATTTCCTAATTTTCTTACTCATGTAAAGTGTCAACAGACATTGCTAAGTCACGATGGTTCGAAAAACGCGCAGACGGAGACGCCATCTTGTTAGTGATCTCGTCTCTCAAGTGCGCCAAAACCTTCCTTACTTCGACGTTCTGCGCAGGCGCTAATCTTAAGGCCTCCCTCATATCCGACAACGCGTTCTCGTACATTTTCAGATCGAGTTTGGCCTTAGCTCTGGAATAGAAAGCTTCGTATGAGTCGGGGTTCATGGTTAGGACTTCGTTGGCCAGTTCCATGGCTTCTTCGGTTTCCTGTTGACACAAAACACGACTTATTAGTATGTCGGTTGTAGCAATGACAACACTTACGTTCAGTTTTCGTTTACATCTGGAGTAGTTGAGGAGGAAATTGACGTGCAGCTGCCTGAAAGCCTTGTTGTGGTCGGCTTGGTCTTCGCCGGGGAATTTCTTGAGGGCGTATTGGTAGCGATGGGCCGCCTCCCTTAATCTACCCTTGCGATATAACGTGTTACCATCTTCAAGAAGTTTATTCAGGAGAATAAGCCTATAAGTGGTTGTTTAAACCAGATGGGGTTGTTGGTTTGTTACTTACAGTATATCTGGCTTGCCTGAGGCCATGGCCCATGTGGCTGGCCCCAATTTAGCCCCTTTTTTCAAAAAGCACTGCACTACTTGTATGTTTCTACACCCGATGGCTCGGTCCAAAGGTCGCATTCCGTTAATGTCGACGTGTTCGATTAAAGCACCATTGTCTATCAACAATTGGACTACATTTGGACTTCCTTGGAACGCCGCTAAGTCCAACGGGGTGCGCCCAGTCTTGTCAGTGTGATTAATATTGGCACCTCGTTCCACTAAACATTGGACTGCTTTCAGTTTGCCGCGGAGGCAAGCCCAACATAGGGGCGTCAGCCCTTCCCGGTCCTCCTTATTAATTTCGGCCCCTACAAACAAACAATTTAAGTTTAAACCAGTGTGTTTCCAAATCCACCAACCTTTATTTAGAAGAAGTTCGATCAAACCGACGTGACCCTCAGACGCTGCCAACATCAACGGAGATCGTCCGACGTTGTCACTTTGTTCAATGGCTGCATGGTTCTGTATTAGTCGTTCAGCCACGGCCCAATGACCTTCCTTCACGGCTAACAACAACGGCGCCATCTCTTTTTTGTTACAAACTGACAAACTCGCACCTCGGCCTACTAAAGTAGTGCAAACACCATGGCAGCCGTTCGACGCAGCCACCGTCAACGCGGTTTCTCCTGTTATGCTATCCGTACAATCGACATTGACTTCCGCCATGTCCAGAAGGTACTCCACGATTTCAACGTGGCCTTGACTAGCCGCTGCTACCAACGCCTGTTGTGCCGCTTCTGCCAGTTCCACGTCTTCGGGACTCTTGATGATCCAATCACAAGCTAGCAAGTACCCGACGACGTTCAAGCAGCCGTTTCTGGCGGCGTGAACCAGAGGGCAGTACCCTGCGGTATCGACGTGTCCCGGACTGGCTCCTGCAGCTATCAGATGTCGTACTATATCACAGTGTCCTTTGGCTGCGGCTAACGACAAAGCGGTTGAACCTTGACTGTTCGTCAGTTCCACGTCGGCTCCAAACTCCAACAACAGCGACACCATGGGTACTATACCCTCATTCGCGTACACGCACAGTACCGGCGCGTTACCTAAGTACTCAGTCACGTGATTCGGGGAAGCCCCAGCTAGTAACAAAAGCCGGGATACTTTCACGTTAGGACTGTACATGTTGCGTAAGTTACACACAGCAGCCGACACGTTCTCCGAGCTTTCGGACACCCAGAAAGCTTGCAAGTCCCGTGCGGTTAGCGTCGGCAAAGACATGTTTCTATAAACGTGAGCTTTGAGGATGTGGTGTCCCAATTCGAGAGTTTTCTCTTCATCCAGAGGTGCTTGAACACGGGATAAGCGGAACGCTATCCCCGAATGACCTGACCGAAGGTCGCACAAGAACTTGGTGTTTTCGTTTTCGTCGCGTTTGATCAACCACTCCCTGAAGGAAGGGTGGAAGAACATATAGGTGTTGTCTAAACGCTTGACGAGGAAGCCGGATAGAAGTTTGAAGCGTTGGAAGAACTCATTCCAGGGCAAAAAATTGTCCACGAGGAGTGAGTTGACGGAGTAGTAGATCTCGAGGAGGGTGAGAGGGTAGAGAGCTGCCAAGCAAACACTGAGAATGTGGGCGACTTTTTCAAAGGAACGCACGGTGGGGAAGCGAAGGTTGAAATGCAAGAGATAGATTTGGGCCAAAGTCACTGGTAACACTTTGTAACCGCTGGATTTCGCCACTAAGTGTCCACGTTCGATCAAGTCGAGGGTTAGTTTGACGAAGAGGAAGGAGCCATTGCTGAGGTTCAGCAAGTGTTGGGAGAATTTGTGTTGAGAAATGCTACCGCTCTCGGATTTACCGGAAGTCGAAGAGGTTATGTTGCTCTGGATACTAGGGCTGTTTTGAAGCCTGAAATTGATGTAGCTTAGCACGTCCTTGGTGATGTTTTCGTTGGAATTGGTGTTGTCGACGGTGATTCGGGTGTAGGGTAGTTGTTTTGTGACGTCCTGTAGCTGCGTTCGCACTGTTGCCACTACTTTCAACCACGAGGGGAAGTTGGGGGTGTGCTTAGCCAGAAACGTCGTGATTGTGTCGCCATGGTCGGGTCTGTGATATTCGGCTTCACAAAGAGCATCTACCAAGATTACGCAATTGAGATTCTCCAGTTTGCCGACGCGTCTCAAACTGGCTAGAGGTTCTAAAATCCCTCTAGTCAAAGCTACGTCTGGATTGACTATACACTCTTTTAGGGACAAGGCGGCTTGCAGATGCGGCTCTCCCAACAAGTAGTCCCGATACCCCGATAACTGTGGCGCTTGACACAACTGCGCAGCTATTGAATGGATAAAGTCAGGTACAAGGCACGTATTGTTATTGTCGGCTTGACAAAAATGATATGCCACTACACTGTTAGCTAGCGGTTTCAATCTTTCCGAAATCAAGTCTATTTGGTAGTAGATACTTTGCGGGCTTCTGGATCTATCGGGTGAATGGACTGATTGATAAACGGGTTCTTTTCTTCGGCCGAAGCAACTGTGTTCCACGAGCTGAAGAATAAGAGCGGTTTTACCCGTCCCGGGATTTCCGGTGAGGAGAACACCAGAGCTCGAAGAACCTAAAACCTAGTTTAGACCCAACCAAATCAACATGGTGAGTGCTTACCGACTATGTCTTCGATTTCTTTGATCAACCAGTGTCGTCCCAGGAACAACGGGTCGGGCTCTTGGAGAGGTACTTCAAAGAATAGGGGTTTGAGGGTCAGTTGGGGCGTTCTGTATTGTGCGAAACGAATTTTAGGGTCTACTGGTCCCTTGATGGTGCCGCCTCGGGCGGACCGTCTTACGCACGTCCGGCGGTTCCGGAACATGTTGAGATCTTCGACTTGTCCAGGTTGAGAGGCTGCAAATGTAAAAAGGGTCAGAAGAAGTTTATTGGGAATGTCAAGGAGGGAGTACTTGTGACGCTGTGTCGTCTGCTAACCGGGCTCGAACTGCAGTTGCTTTGGCCCGACATAGACATAGACATCAGGGAACCAACGCTGTCCGAACTAGGGTTGATCCTGTGTTGGTCCTCCGAGCTTCCCGTCAAGGTGGAAACAGGACTCGTGTTGGTGGATAGCATAGCAGCTGCGTCGTAACTCGCAAGCGACGAACACGACTCATGACTGCTCCTTCCTTGTATCCTCTTGGTTCTTCTAGCACCGTCCCCCAGTAACAGACCTAGTCTCATGTACATATCATTATCCGAAGACTTCTTATTTGAAATCGGCTTAACAGTTCCACCTTCATCATCTGCAAATTGCGCTTAATTAAACACCTTCCTGGAGCGGCCACAATTAAATTACACTCAACACACAACAAATAAAAATGAGAGCGCGTTACGATTGAAAAGTGGAATAAAATCAAACCAAAAAAAAAAAACAAAAAAGGAAAATAATGACACCAATCATTTTAATTAAAATAAAGAAGCAACGGAAGCGATGTGTAATTAGCACACAGGTTAAAATACGTCCAGTAAAAAAAATGTGCTTATTCATGCGGAGCTAACTAAAAAAATGTGGGACACATCATGCGTTAAGTCTGATTTGACCCTGCCTGACACTAGCTGGTTCAGTCCGGCACTCGGACCGGAAGTTCCTGCCGACCACAAAGACCGGATTTTGCCCAAAACGACGCTCGGCCAATGGCGGCCCTCATTCGACGTGGTTGAGGAGGTCATGGCGGCTGAGGAAAGCAAAATGGCGATAGGTTATTTCGTAACCCAAGAACGGGGTTTGCACCAACCCACGCCGTTCTTGTGCTCTACAACTGTCACACTGTCATTCGCAGCAATCATCAATTCACTTGCCGAACCCATGCAACCCGGACCATCCAGACAGTCGTCTGGCCGTATTTTTAGCATCCCACATCTAATGTCGCGCCGCGAACGGATATTGCACTAGCCCACGTGCCGCCCGCGCCATCCTGAAGACTACATACCGGATGAGGCAGAATCCACGGGCGGCTGGCGCGAGTTTCGCTGCGAAAACGGGCTGCGAAGGGCCTTCGGGCTGAGGAAGAACTTGCGGCGGGTTTGTGGCGGCGTGGGGCAGCTCTGGGTCATGACTCCCTGGTCCACGCGGGTGCGGGGGTTGGAGGGGCGGGTCTTGGGTAGCTTCTCGGGATGACCCAGCTCGACGCCGGACGCGGAGAGGTCCTGCCGGCCCTGGAACACACAACACGCGTTTTAGTCTAGGGTGCACTCGAATGAGGTTTGCGGATTTCCAGGGGTCAACCTGGTTTGTCTTCTAAATCTGGGTACGCAACTTTGCGGCCACGAACTTCGTATTTCACGACTTATACGTGAGTTATTAGGTCTAATTACTATAATCGATGAATCTGTTCCGAGATAATTCTGAAATCATGTCGAATGGACGTAAATAAATGCGTAATGATGTTGGTATCTTCGGAATGTTGGTGTTTCCCCGTTTTGTCTCCTGACGCGGTTTGTACAATCGCACGCAAATGTTTTGAGCCTATGGGCGGATCATTTTTGCCGGTCGTCACCGAAGGAGGCGGTACAAATCGTCCTAAACGAAATTTACGTGTTGACCAAATTCTTACTCTGAATTAGTTTTAATTTTATAAATACCCTATCTAAAATGTTCAGAATATGATGAGTCTATACTTATGATTTACCATTCCATTTATATTTTTTGGGTTTTTGGGTATTAATTGAAATCTTGTCAATTAGTTGGAACCTGAGCCCAATTTTTTTTGCAATATCTGTAATGTGCTATTAGTTTCCGTAACTTATAAAATTAGGAAAAAAACCTATTCTGCTCTAATAAAATCGAGAATATGCTCAAAATCACACTAATATTAGGTCTAATTGTGCCAACCATAGTTGTAAAATTCACATTAAATTAAGTCACGGACATTTTTTGGAGTGTACTACATTTCAAAAAACAAAAAAAATTTTCAGTTTATAAACTTCACGATCAAAATGTATTTGCTTATCTTTGCCAAAAAATGCATGACGTCATGGCAAAATTTGATATGATGAGTCAGTACCTGTGATTTATCATTGCAGTAATATTTTTTAGATTTACTTATACAGGCTGTCTCAAAAAAAGATCACTTCGATTTTCGATTTTTCGTTTTTTCGACCTACCGTTTCATCTAATTAGATTTTTCAGTTTCCATTTTTCTATCAACTTTTCGATTTTTTTACTTTCCCATTTTCTGATTTTTCAAATTTGCGGTATTTTGAATTTTCGAGTTTTCGGTTTTTCCGTTTTTCGATTTGTTGATTTTTCGGTTGGTCAGTTTTTAGACTTTGCTGCAACTTTTTTGCGTTTTTCGATTATATTTTACTTTCCGATTTTTTTGATTTTTGAATTTTCGATTTTACGTTTTTAATTCTTCGATTTTCCATTAATCATTAAATTTTTCGATTTTTCGGTTTTTTTATTTTTCGACCTTCAATTTTTCAATTTTCGAGTATTCGATTTTCCATTTTCTGATTTTACGATTTTTCGATTTTCGTTTTTCCGATTTTGTGGTTTTTCGATTTTTCTGTTTGTTTCAGTTTTTATGTTTCTGCGATTTGTTTTATTTTTTCATTTTTCGTTTATTTTACTTTCCGATAGTTTGATTTTTGAATTTTTGGTTTTTTCATTTTTCGATTTGGGATTTTTCAATTTTTCGGTTTTTTAATTTTTCGAGTCTCGATTTTTCGATTTTCGATTTTTCAGATTTGTGGATTTGTGTCTGTTTTTTCGATTTTGAGAATATTGATTAATCGAATTTTCGATTTTTGAGCATTTCGATTTTTCTGTTCGTCAGTTTTAGACTTTGCAATTTTTACTTTTCCACTTTTCTATTATTTTAGATACGGATTATTCGATTTTTGAATTTTCGTTTTTTTTTTTCATTTTTCGATTTCCGATTTTTTAATTTTTCGATTTTTCGGTTTTTTAATTTGTCGATTCTCGATATTTCGATTTTCGATTTTCCAATCTCTGATTTTTCAATTTCCAGTTTTCGATTTTCCACTTTATGATTTTACGAGTTTTCGATTTTTCTGTTCGTCACTTTTTAGGCTTTGAAATTTGTTTACTTTTCGATTTTTGAATTGTCGACTTTTAGAGTTTTCAATATTATGAATTTTCGAATTTTCTGTTTCCCTATTTTTCGATTTTTGAATTTTCCATTTTTCGGTTTTTCAATCTTGCAAATTTCCGATTTTTCCGATTTGTGAATTTCCGGTTTTTCGATCGACCTACGTATTATATTCATTGAATTTTCGATTTTCGGTTTTTCCATTTTTAGATTTTCGATTTTTCAGTTTTATATTTTCAGATTTTCTGTTTTTCGCATGTCTGATTCATCAAATTTTCGAGTTTTCGGTTTTTCCATTTTCGATTTGTTGATTTTTCGGTTGGTCAGTTTTTAGACTTTGCTGCAACTTTTTTGTATTTTTCGATTACATTTTACTTTCCGATTTTTTTTGATTTTTGAATTTTCGATTTTACGTTTTTAATTCTTCGATTTTCCATTAATCATTAAATTTTTCGATTTTTTGGTTTTTTTATTTTTCGACCTTCAATTTTTCAATTTTCGAGTATTCGATTTTCCATTTTCTGATTTTACGATTTTTCGATTTTCGTTTTTCCGATTTTGTGGTTTTTCGATTTTTCTGTTTGTTTCAGTTTTTATGGTTCTGCGATTTGTTTTATTTTTCATTTTTCGATTATTTTACTTTCCGATAGTTTGATTTTTGAATTTTTGGTTTTTTCATTTTTCGATTTGGGATTTTCCAATTTTTCGGTTTTTTAATTTTTCGAGTCTCGATATTTCGATTTTCGATTTTTCAGATTTGTGGATTTGTGTCCGTTTTTTCGATTTTGAGAATATTGATTAATCGAATTTTCGATTTTTGAGCATTTCGATTTTTCCATTTTTAGATATTTTTCGATTTTTTTTAATTTTTCGATTTTTCTGTTCGTCAGTTTTAGACTTTGCAATTTTTACTTTTCCACTTTTCTATTATTTTAGTTTCGGATTATTCGATTTTTGAATTTTCGTTTTTTTTTTTCATTTTTCGATTTCCGATTTTTTAATTTTTCGATTTTTCGGTTTTTTAATTTGTCGATTCTCGATATTTCGATTTTCGATTTTCCAATCTCCGAATTTTCAATTTCCAGTTTTCGATTTTCCACTTTATGATTTTACGAGTTTTCGATTTTTCTGTTCGTCACGTTTTAGGCTTTGAAATTTGTTTACTTTTCGATTTTTGAATTGTCGACTTTTAGAGTTTTCAATATTATGAATTTTCGAATTTTCTGTTTTCCTATTTTTCGATTTTTGAATTTTCCATTTTTCGGTTTTTTGATTTTTCAATTTTCGGTTTTTCAATCTTGCAAATTTCCGATTTTTCAGATTTGTGAATTTCCGGTTTTTCCATTTTTAGATTTTCGATTTTTCAGTTTTGTATTTTCAGATTTTCTGTTTTTCGCATATCTGATTCATCAAATTTTCGATTTTTCGGCTTTTCGATTTTTCAATATTTGATTTTCGAATTTTCGATTGTTCAGTTTTCCATTCTTCAGCTTTTAGACTTCAATTTTTTTACTTTTCGATTTTCCGAATTTTCGAGTTTCAATTTTCAGATTTTTGATTTTTCGATTTTCCTTTTTAAATCTTTGAACTTTTCGGTTTTGATTTTTCGAATTTTTGATTTTTAATTTTCCCATTCTTCGGTTTTTAGACTTCAATTTTCTTTCTTTTAAATTTTTCGATATTCTATTTTCCGCTTTTCAGAATTTTCGATTTTCAGTTTTCAGACTTTCGACCATTAGAATTTTGGATATTTCGATTTTATGATTTTTCGATTTTTAGAAAATTTGAGTAGTCGAATTTTCGATTTTTCAATTCATCGATTTTTCAATGTTCAATTTTTCAATTTAAATTTTGCGATTTTCAATTTGTCCATTGTCGATTTTTAGAATTTTCGGTTTTTCAATTTTTCCATTCTCACCTTTTGGACTTCAATTTTGTTTCTTTCCGATTTTTTGGTTTTCGATTTTCCAATTTTCAGAATTTCCAAGTTTCTTTATTCAGATTTTCGATTTTCCACTTTTGCGATTTTAGATTTTTCGAATTTTTGTTTTTCCAATTTTTTGCTTTTTACGTATTATTTTCATTGAATTTTCGATTTTCGGTTTTTCAATTTTCAGATTTTTGATTTTTCGATTTTCCTTTTCAAATCTTTGAACTTTTCGGTTTTGATTTTTCGAATTTTTGATTTTTAATTTTTCCATTCTTCGGTTTTTAGACTTCAATTTTCTTTCTTTTAAATTTTTCGATATTCTATTTTCCGCTTTTCAGAATTTTCGATTTTCAGTTTTCAGACTTTCGACCATTAGAATTTTGGATATTTCGATTTTATGATTTTTCGATTTTTAGAAAATTTGAGTAGTCGAATTTTCGATTTTTCAATTCATAGATTTTTCAATGTTCAATTTTTCAATTTAAATTTTGCGATTTTCAATTTGTCCATTGTCGATTTTTAGAATTTTCGGTTTTTCAATTTTTCCATTCTCACCTTTTGGACTTCAATTTAGTTTCTTTCCGATTTTTTGGTTTTCGATTTTCCAATTTTCAGAATTTCCAAGTTTCTTTATTCAGATTTTCGATTTTCCACTTTTGCGATTTTACATTTTTCGAATTTTTGTTTTTCCAATTTTTTGCTTTTTCGATTTTTCTGTTCGTTTCAGTTTTTAGGCTTTGCAATTTTTTCTGCTTTATATATTTTGATTATTTTAATTTCCGATTTTTGTTAATTTTTGCTTTTGATTTTTTTAATTTTCAGTATTACAAATTTTTGACTTTTCGATTTTTTGGTTTTTCCGTTTTTCTATTTTCGATTTTTCGATTTTTGAGGTTTGTGAATTTCCACTTTTCGATCGACCTCGGTATTTGATTCATTGAATTTTCGATTTTTTGGTTATCCATTTTTAGATTTTCGATTTTTACGATTTGTATTTTTCGATTTTCTGTTTTTTTAATTAATCAAATTTTCGAAAAAGTTACCATGCTTACAAAAACTTTAAAACATCTACAATATTTCAAAGTATTCAGTTTTGCTATTCTTGATTTCTTCAATAAAACAAATTGACTTAGTCATTAACCTTTTTGAGACACCCTGTATAACCAAATCTA